TCGAGAACCGATGTTCCAGGCTTGATCGAAACTCCAGGCTCCAGAATGCCTGGCCGATCGAACATCCATGATCGAGGTTCGATCGAGGCTCGAGGATCGAGGATCGAGGGCCCCAGATACTTCGAGGGTCGAGGATAGAGGTCCGTTCGAACAGCGACCATCGATTTCCCAGGATCCAGTCCCGATCGAAAGTCGCGGCTCGAAAGCCGAACTACGGACGAATACCAGGATGCGGCTCTTTCGGTGTAGCTCCGATCTCAACTTTTTAATCCAGGGGGTGGTAGGGCTGCGACAAGTCCGCGACGATGCGGTGACGGCGACACCGGGCGGCGACGACGGGCCGGCGCCAGACAAGCCCAGACGACGAGCGGCGACGAGGCGGTGACGCGGTGGCGACGGCGACCACGGTGCCGCCAGACCGACACATGGCCAATTTTTCATGACAAGCAACGAAGAACACCCTACATGCGAACTTTGATCCCGGTTATAGGAAATGCATGTGTATGCATGTATGTGTGCATATATATATATATATATGTACATATATATATGTGTATAGATATGTGTATGACTACGCATGTATTATTCATTGGATGATGCCTGGACACACATCCGTGCATATATATACATATATGTTCACATTGTGTACATGCCATTGTACATGTACGTGTGATGTCTATGTCTATGTCAATGTATATGCACATGTAACAATATGAGAGTATATGTATCCGGATATGTGTATGTATGTGTGTATGGTTTGATGTGCATGTTGGGGCATATGTGTAGTCACATGTGAGTGCATGTCATTGTATTTGTTTTTGTATATGTAGATGTATATGTATGCGTATTCGCACGATTATGTGCATATGTCTGTGTTGCTGAACGTCGATGCGTAGGGGTGCCTGCACATATGTACATATATTATGCATGTATGTTTATGCTTACGTATATGGATATGTTGATGTACATGTACATGTTTATGCTTATTTCTATGCACATGCAGTTGTACATATATATATATAGGTATATATTATAGGTATATATGAGTCTATACATTCAGGAATTTGGATAGGTTTATGTTTATGCATATTCATATGCAGCTGTATATTTGATTGTTTACGAATCTGTGTAGGTTAATGTTTGTGTTAACGAACTTGTATGTACTTTCGTGCGTGCACGTGTATGCACTTGCATATGGACATGTACGTGTATGCGGAGGCATGTACATGTATACGTGTGTGTACATGTTCATGCCGATGTAAATGTGGATGCACATCTGTATGCAGATGTATATGTACATGTATATACACATATGTATACGTTTATGTATGTGTACAGGTATACATGTACGCATATGTATAGGTATATGCATGTCCACATGTACGTGTGAATTGGCACGACTATGCACATGTAAAAGTTCAGTTTCATGTATACGTCTATGTATATATATGCATATGTGTGTGTCTAGTTGTATGTATATGCGCATATGCATGCGCACTCGCATGCATGTATATATGTGTGTAGCTGTAGATGCGAAGCGTGTATGTATGTATGTATGTATGTATGCATGCATGCATGTATGTATGCATGTATGCATGCATGTATGTATGTATGTATGTATGTATGTGTGTGTATATATGTACATGTATATATATATATATACATATATATATGTGCACATGCACATACAAACATGAACATGTATGTATCTACATATGACTGCATTGGCGCTTCGCGCCATCACCTTATTCCTTGTAGTTTCGAATGCAGGCGGCGTGCGTGCGCGTGGACATTGGGCGGGCCACCGCCAAGTCAGCATGGGTGAGGAGTTCCTGCGCGGAAGGAGCTTGACAACACCAGCTGCGGCCATCTCAGGGCGTTTCGGGGCCCAGAGGCGCGAATATGTCTCCAGCAAGTGGTTGGGCTAGCATGAAGCAGGGCATCCTCCTCCTCTTTCTCCTCCTCCCCCTTTTCCTCCTCTTTTCTCCTCCTCATCCTCATCATCTTTCTCCTCTATCCCCCTCCTCCTCTAATTCCTCCTTCTCCTCCTCCTCCTTCTCCTCCTTCTGCTCCTTCTCCTCTACCTCCTCCTCCTCCTCCTCCTCCTCCTCCTCCTCCTCCTCCCCTTGCTCCGCCTCCTACAGAAATGCTATTTTTCGGCACGCGCGATGTGGGGCTGCCAGCTTCGAGCCCCAAGGCTTGCCCAAGAAGGCCCCAATAATTGAAATTCAACGAGAACCCATTGGGAGATTCATGTTTTTGGCTTTCTCGTCTTTTCGCTTACGATCGGCTCTTGAGTTGTCGAGGTAGCCCCAGGACGGCTCCAAATGAGTCCCCAGACGAGCCCCAAAGAGGCCCAAGGCAAGCTCGACAGGGCCCAGAGAGTGGGAAATCGGAGAAAACCCATTGGAGAAGCAATGTGTTCGGCCGTATGGCTTTCGGTTGGCTCGAGAGGCGTCAAGATGACCCCAGGATGGCCCCAGAGAGGCGTAAGCCGAGGCCCACAGAGGCCCTACGCTGGCCGAAGAGGGCCCGCAAAATTGAACATCCGTGATAATCCATTGGAGTATCGCTGTTTTTGGTCTCCTCGCCTTGTCGCTTCCGATTGGCTCTTGATGCATCAAGATAGGCCCAGGACGGCGCCAAATGAGTCCCCAGACGAGCCCCAAAGAGGGCACAGACTGGCCCTAGAGGGCCCGGAGGTTCGAAACTCAATTAACAAAACCATTGTAAAAACAATATGTTCGTTCTTCTCGCCTTTTCGCTTCCGGTCGGCTCGGGAGGCGTCAAGATAGCCCCAGGATGGCTCCAGAGAGGCGCAAGCCGAGGCCCGCCGAGGCCCAAGGCTGGCCGAAGAAGGCCCAAATAATTGAAATTCAATGATAACTCATCGGGAAATCAATGTTCTTGGCCTTCTCGCCTCTTCGCTTACGATCGGCTCTTGAGGCGTCAAGATAGCCTCAGGACGGCGTCAACAGACGAGCCCCAAAGAGTACCAAGGCTGGCAGAAGAATGCCCAGAGAAGTGCAAATCAATATAGCTCATTGGGAAATCAATGTTTTGGTCTTCTCGCTATTTCGCTTCCTGTCGGCTCGGGAGGCGTCCAGATAGCCCCAGGATGGCCCCAGAGAGGTGTAAGCCGAGGCCCGCCGAGGCCCAAAGCTCGCCGAAGAAGGCCAAACCAATCGCAATTCAATGATAACCCATCGGGAATACAATGTTCTTGGCCTTCTCGCCTCTTCGCTTACGATCGGCTCTTGAGGCGTCAAGATAGCCCCAGGACGGCTTCAACAGACGAGCCCCAAAAAGGCCCAAGGCTGGCTGAAGAATGTCCAGATACTTTCAAATCGATAGATACCATTGGCAAATGAATGTTTTTGGACTTCTCGCTTTTTCGCTTACGATCGGCTCTTGAGGCGTCGAGATAGCCCCAGGACGGCTCCAAATGAGTCCCCAGACGAGCCCCAAAGAGGCCTAATGCTGGCCCAAAAGGGCCCGGAGAGTCGAACATCAAAGAAAACCCAAGGAGCAAGACAGGTCCGAGGATTCGAAACTCATTATTTGGGGGGCGCTCTTTCTGGGGTCCCTGGCCTTCTACAAATAAATGAATAGGAATCTGTCTATGTCTATGTCTATGCATATGTATATGTATGTGTATGCGTATGCGTATGTGTATATGTATGTATGTATGTATACATATATATATATATATATATATCTATATACACACACACTACTCATCCCACGGGGGCGCGGGCCACGAACTCCGGCCCGCGGGTCTCTCCGCGCCGTGGGGGGGCCACCATCTTCCTAACGTCTTCGGACGGCTCGGCCCAAGACCGCCCTCTTGGACTGATTGGCGCACTGATTGGCCCAAGACCGCCCTCTTGGACTTTTCCTGGGGCCTCTTGAGCGTGTCTTGGGGGGGCGCTTGGGCCGTCTTGTGCTGTCAGAAGCCGCCAGCACAGGGCGAGTATGCGAACATCTTTCACCACCTGTGGGCAATCAGCGATTCTTGCCTCTCCACGTCGTCTCGGGAGTCGTGTTGCTCTCTGGGTGCCTCTTTGGGGGCCCTCTCAGGGGGCCTCTTGGGGACCATCATGGAGTTCTTGAGGGCCATATTTTTTTGGGGGGGCTCCCAAGACCCCGTCGACTTGGGGCGGTCGTTGGCACTTTGGGCACATTCGGGGCGCAGGGGAGGGGCAAGGAACCCGTGGAATCCTTTTCGTTTCGCGACTCACCCCCATCTAAAAGTAGGCACAAGGCGAGTTGCCATGGCCATGGATGTGTGGCAGCACGCTCATCGGCAGCCCCGTTTAGCCCGACCGCTGGCGCAGCGGGTCTGCCTCGCCGCCGGCAGACAAAATGTGTGGCAGCACGCGGTCCAGCTGTGATCCGCGTCCGCGTTCGCGGCTCCTCGTGGTCGTACCGGTTGAGTGGGTTGCTTGTCGTCACCTGCGGTGCCCGTATTGCGTCGCGCGCGCCCGGGGCCGCTTTGGTATGCTGGTTGCGTGTCGTTGCTCGCCGTGCGTGCGTGCTCTGGGAGCGGCTTGGAGGCTTTGGGGGGCCATCGTGGGGCCTTCTTGCGGCTCTCTCGGGGCCTTCTCGGGGCTCACTTGCGGCTCTTTTGAGGCCCTCGTGGAGAATATGGTGGCCCTCCTGGGGGGCCATCTTTTAAGCCATTGGGCCAAGGGGGTACGCAAGTACGTCCTACCCCGACTGGACCCGAACATTTGCCTTGGGGCGCTCCTGTGGCGTTCTCGGGCGCTCTTGGGGGGGGCCATCTGGGGCCAGGAAGGCCCATCTGGTACCTCGCCGGGAGAGGGTTCCAGACCCAGGGGGAGGGGCAGGGGGAAGGGGGCCCCCTCCCGAAGGGGAAGAAGGGGGGGGTACCAGAACGAGCTCGTTAGACCTCTCACGTCCTGCAAGGCTGGTGGGATTGGGCCATCGATCCCCCGTGTCAAACGCGCAATCTGGGGGCCGTATCCACGTCGGCTTGAAAGGCTCCCCAGGAACCTTCCGGACTACGTACCTCTCTCGAACACCACACTTCATTGCGCATACTTGAAGGTTGACGATGGCGTCTGTCGTCTTCGTGCGCTTGGCGTTTTTATGGATGCTGCTTGCAGCCAGCAATTCCTCTAACCCCTGGATGCTGTATGCAAACATCAACCCCTGCGATGGTGGGAATATGGGGTACGGTGCATCCGCGTGGTACGGCAGTGCTGGGAGCGCCGCCACAAGTCTTACGAACGACTTCGTCGACGGCACAGTGGGGACTGCTCCGGTGAAGTACGTCACCATCGCTCGGCACGCTGGCGGTGCATGCGAGATGTCGAAGACGTGGGAGCTTACGAGCAGCACCAAATCGATGTATGACTATTTTTCTGACCACAACCCTGGGAGGATCTATGCCACGGGGGATGGCAGCGCCAGCGACACCCACATCGCATCGGACATGCCGTCATCTTTCAGTGGGGATGGCACGCCGGGGGACCCGATCTTTGGCGCCGATGGTGGCTTGGTGTTCAACTGGTGGTATTCGAACAATGGAGCTCGGGTTGCTGTTCCTGGTGGCTACAAGACCCCGTACTCTCTCCCGGGAACCGGGACGAACAACGACGACCTCCACGGTCTGGGCAACGAGTTCGGTGCTGGCACTCAAGCTGGTGGAGGGAGTGGCACCTGGTGGCACGACGCTGCCAAAATCCAGGGGGACTGCCACGGCACTTCCTGCCAGGTGCTTGGCAGCGACCACGGAAGTGCGTGGGGGAGCACGAACTTTGGCTGCTGGGGCAGCTACGCCATCTACGTGTCTGCTGCTCTGTCCACTTTCCCCTGCCAGGGCTCGACGCTGTCGGCGCAGGTGTCGGGGGCGGCAGCGGGCGGAGCGGAGGGCGAACAATTGAGAAGAAAGTTTCAAGCTCGACACGGCGAATTGCACCACGCACGTGGCACCACGCACGTGGCACCACGCAGTTTGCCGCGCCCGATGGGGGTCCAAGAGTGCCCCAGACTGGCTGCGATGCCCAAGGCGCCCTGAGAGGCCTTCGAATGCCTTCACCAGAGGGCCCCGAGAGGCCAAAATCATCGTCTGTGCGTGGGATGTGCACTGTTGGGGGGCCCTCGACTTTTCGGATTTCCCGGGCGACAAGCAGCCCAAGATGCCCCCAAGACCGCCCCAGGACAGCCCAAGTGGCTCCTGAGAGAGCCCCCGTGACGGCCCAGGATGGCTCAGAGACGGCCCCAGGGGCGCCCAGGATGGCCCAAGAAGGCCCAAGGGCACAACACGGGTATGCGAACGGGAAATCCGACTCGCCCGCCCTGAAGTGCCCCTTTATGATGCCCCTAGCCCCCAGATGCTTCAAAACAACTCAAGAGGCGCCGAAACAGCCACCAAGAGGCCCATGGGAGCCTCCCCCGCGGTATCCCAATGAACTTGTTATCAAGGACGATGACCCTCAACCCAGGCACGGTGGCGGGATGGGGCGGCGGCCATTAGACATTGCACCAAGCAGCTAACGTGGAGGCGGATGGACGCCTGAAACATCGGTTTGCGAAGACGACCTCATCATATTGTCGATACGATTACGGAAATGCACGGACTGATGGGGGTGACGCCCGTGGTGTCGACATGGTGACATGAAGGCGCGTGAACAACATGGCGGACCGAGCGACCCCACTCATGGCAGCCGGAATGGTGTAAAGCCCGTGGCCCTGCCACACGTTCGAGACCTAGGCCAGCTGAAATGGTGAGAACCCGATGCCCTTGCCACAACTTCTGGACCTGCGACGGCTGAAATCGGGCCAGAACGCCATCCTGAGTTTAATCCCACCAGCCTTCTGGGCGCAGGTGGTCTAGAGCGTTTCCTTTTCCAACCTCCTTCCTTTCCATGCTCGGGAGGTTTACCTCCCCCCCCTTCCCTGCGTCTGGACGGGCTCCCCCGCGAGGTGTCAGAGGGCGCCTTTCGGCCCAAGATGGCTCCAAGAGGGCTTCAGAGAGTGCGAGATGGCCTCCAAGATGGCCCAAGATAGGGGTAGATGGCTCAAGATAGCCTCCGAAACGCATCCAAGATGCCTCAATACGGCCCCAAGACGGTTCCAAGTGCCCTCCGAGCCCTCCGAGGACTCCCCCGAGAGGCCCAAACCCGTCAAAAACCTAAAGAAATTCTATGTGTTTTGCCTTCTCGCTTTTTCGCCTTCGATGGGCTCTTCAGGCCTCAAGATGGCCCCAAGACTGCCTAATATAGTCCCACGAGGGGCCCAAGAGGGCCCCTAAGACGGCCACAAGAGCGACCAAGAGCGCTTCAAGAGCGGCCCAAGAGGGCCCCAAGACGGCACTTTTGAGCCCCCGAGGGGGCGATGGGAATTAGAACACCCCATCCTTTTTAGCGAATGGGCCCGAGACGGCCCCAAGAGGCCCCTCAGGCATCCCAAAAGAGCACCAAGAAGGCCCCCAGACCCCCCAAAAGAGTCCCAAGAGGGCCCCAAGACGCCCCAAAAGAGCCCCAAGAGGACCTCAAGAGCCCTAAGAGATAGCTCCAGGAGGGCCCCAAGAGGGCCCTAAGAGAACCCCCAAGAGAGCCCCAAGGTGGCTCCAAGGTTCGAAACGCACGCAACATTAAGAAACACATCAGTGCAACAGACATTACGAGTCATCGAAACACCCCTCACCTCCCATCGAAGCACCATCGTAGCTTTCACTGGCTTCCATCTCAAACTTCAATGCAGGAAGCTTTTTGTGATCCTTGTTTTCCCGAAGACGGCTGCGCAACTGCATGCGTCCTGCCGCCCCTGATTCACCGACTCCCCTGCTGATCGTTTCTGGATGGGCTGGTGGGGATACTTTTTCAGCCGCGGCCGCGAGCGAAGAGCACAGGCGGCGAAAGCAAAGTCCGGGGCGGCGAACATGGCTAATTAGCTAGAAGACGCGCCGCAAGCCGGCTGGTGGGGATACGTCAAGCGTCAAGGATTTCTCGATCTGCGCGGGCTGGAACCGAACCATTGCGCTACCGAGGAACCCCACATACTTAATTTAAATCTTATGCGTTTGCTTTTCATTATCATATATGCGCAATCCTGCGTTCTAAACCCTCGTCGCGAATGTTTCCCAATATTGTCATCCATCACACTACTGATTGAACATCCTCGCTCTTCCCCGCCTTCCATCCTTCATCGGGAAAAAGTTCGGGGTGGTCACCGAGGGCCGTTTCCTGGGGTGGCAACAAGCAATGAGGTGATGCAGAACGATTTGCCACAACTCGAGTAGTCGGGGGGCCCACTGGAAGTTGGTCCAACTCACACCCCTCGCACAGCCGCTCTAAGGAGCCTCTAGAGTTATCCTTTCTCCCTCGCCTCATGCTGCGTTCTTCCGCACCCTTGCCTCCCTTTCTTTCCTCGGTCGGTCTACTTTCTCTAGTCTCATGCAGTTTCCACACGTCTGTCGCCGCGTCTCTTCGACGGACAGTCTCTGAGGTGCGCGCGCAAAAGACTTGCATGGCAAACATGGCCCGCCTGCGTGCAAAATGCGAGTGCCCTTCGATGGAAAATCTCTGGGCTGCGGTTGCCACGACACCCAAAGCTGGGCGGACGCTCCGAAATCGTCCAGGAGCGGCGCGGGCCGCGCGAATTCGACGCGGCTGGACAGCGCTGCCTTCGTCGGAAAGACTCTGGAGGGCCGTGCGCTCCAATGACCCCACGCCGCCGGCAAAATCCATTTGCGTTCCAGAGCGAGGGCCTCGATCTCCCGCGTCTCCGTAGCCATGCGCTCATCAAACTTCTGGAGGGCTTTGAGCACGGACGGAGGTGGGCCCTTCTGCAAGACCTCCCGTGGCGGCGGCCGAAGCAGGAACATGTCCTCCACGCAAGTAGCTCTGCTGAGCATCGCGTACAGGTGCAGCCACCAGGTCTCCTCTCTTTCCTCCGGTATGCCAATGCTCTTGCCCTGCACGCAATCGATGGTCACCCCGGTGCGGATCGTCTGGCCCTGTGACGCGGTGGATGTCAGGAAGCGCCCGTGCGTGATCGCGTACCCGAACCTCTTGACCCGGTGCGTTTTGTTGGCGCTTGTCCACTTGAAGTTCGCCTCCATGAGCGGGAAGCAGAACAGGCCGTTTGCTTTCACTTTGTCAATTCCGAAAGAGTTGGTGAGGGCGGCGACCACGTCCGGGCTTTGCTTCTCAAACTTGTGCACCTGCGTCCAGATTCCGGCAGGCAGAAAGCGCGGGCGGAAGATCTCTCTTGGCGCGCACGCGTCGTACCTGACTTGGTCGCTGCTCTCGAACACGAAGCTCACAATGGTGGCTCTCTGCTCCTGGACCAAGCTCTTGCGCTTGGACACCTTGACGGTGAATCTCACCTCCATGCCCACGTGCGCTGGGAAAACTCCGTGCATGTGCCCAGTCTCGCAAGGGTTCGGCACGTTCAGCAGCCTTCTGCAAGCCTCTACTGTTTCCTGTGGTGTGCCGCAGGAGACGCCCTCGTCCTTTGACTGCAGGAAGACCAGCGGCACGCCCATGGCGCGAGAGTCGACCATGGTCCGGCGAGACATCCATCGGCACAGCGTGCTCCAGTGCCAGGCCATCCCGAATCCAGTCGCAAACTTCTCCTCGTCGTGCCTCGGGTCCCTCGCTCCGGTCGCGCAGTCGGCGGCGACCCGAGCCTGGAAAGTTGCCCAGACATAGTCGGGGATCCGTCGCGCGTGGCGCATGCAGGCGAGCAGCTCGATCAGCGGGTCGTGCCCTTCAGCTCGATCACGTGAGGGACTTTGCCGAACGCTCTAGTGGCGTGCTGCACTTCCACGCTCGGAGGCGGATCCAAGTTGCAATTGCCGTGCTCATCTTTCTCTTGGGCGTCCCTGATTAGCCCTGTGGCGTTCGTCGGGGTGAGCTGCAGGAAATCGCCCAAGTGAATGACGATGGGGGCTCGCCCCAAAATGGTGGTGGTCCTTCCTGTAGTTGGACTCGTCCGCGGCGAACTCCCGGCGCCTGCCGAACATGCACCTGGAGCCCAGCATGTCGTAGAGGTCTGCAGATATCATGCTGATCTCCTCCATGATGAGCGCGCGCACTCGGCGCCAGCACTGCTCCAACTTCTGGAGCTTCGCCTGGCAGGGCCGAATCTTGGCGTTCGTATACTCTTGCACGCCCATGCCTCCAGCTCCGTGCATCGTCATAGCCTCCACGTCCGCCGTCGAGATGTTCTTGGCCTGAGCGTTGGAGAAGGCCGCCACGACGAGGCTCGGACTGGCTTTGCTCTCTTCAGGCCAGATGTGGATCACCGCCTTGAAAACGAGCTCCTGGACCACGTGCGTCTTGCCGGATCCGCCCTGGCGCTGGTGGCAGGAGGTGCCGCTCTTCTCGTCGCGCCAGACTTGGTCTTAGGCATCAGCAAAGCGCATGGCAAAGATGATCTGGTCCCGAGTGAGCCGCTTTTTCTCTGGCAAGCCAGCCGCGAGGTCCACGATGCAAGCGCTCGGAGTAGCGTGCGCGCCCGCCTCGTCGACAGATGCCGGCTCGGGGTTCTCCCCGTCTCCCGCGCCAGGCGCCTTCTCCTCGTCGTCAGAGTCACTCACGTCTGTGGTCTTATCCTGGAATGCGAAATCCTGCAGCCTGAGCATCTGGAGCTGCTTGTCCACGTGGCCCGTGCCGCTCCGCACGTCTGGCATGCTGTCGTGCAGACCACGGTACTGCAGACGCCATGCCCCCCCGTGGCCTGGGTCGAACAGGCGAACAGCGCGCGAGTGGTCGAGGAGGGCGTCCTTCCAGTCCATGCACGGAAGGGCCAGCGGCTCTTTCTCGAAGGCTCGGAGCCGGGTCCTATGGCCGTAGGTCAGCGTCTTCCTGAAGTCCTTGGAACTCCTCATCCCCAGAAGGGGCAGCTCCTCGAAAGTGCCGATCTTCAATTGCGGCGCAGCGGGGGGGTCGCCCGCCGCGTCGCCCGCCCCCTCGCCGTCGCTAGGCCCGTCTTCTCCAGCGGTCATGCGGAGGCGCGCCTGGTGAACGGCAGCGTCGGACTGGTACTGGCGCGGGCGGTGCTCCATGCGCGCCCTCGCGAGGCCCTCCAGGTTCTGCGTGGCCTGCAGCCCGACGAGGGCGGCGCGCTGCTTCACCGTGGCTCGCTCCTTGTTCTTGTCAGGACCTCAGGGGCACGAGGGGCGGGAAGCACGGGAGGACACTGACGAGCAACGCGGAATCATCCGAAACGAGGAGAGGTGGCGGCGCGCGCCGAGAGCGCGCGATGGGCCCGACGAGCGGGCCTGGCGTTCTGACCGAATCCCAGGAAGAAGTGGGGCTTACCGACGGCCGTTTCCTGGACAACGTCAAATTTTTGAGTCTCGTCCGACATCTAGAAACCAACGACGCACGCGACGACGCTGACGACGACCTCGACAGTCTCCGGAGATCGAAAGAGCCACCGACGCAGCCGACGATCTCGAGCGGAGCATCGGTCGGGGCTATAGATCGGCGCCACTGAGTGCGCGGCAATGATCCGGATCGACTTCCCCGAAGTGGCCGCGCTCCAGCCAGGCCCCGTGTTGCGCTGCAATAACCTCTTCCGTCTCCCACAGGGATGGGTACTCGAACCTGTCTAGGAACCGCCGCCGGCCCTCTGCTGCGTCCTCCTCCATCTCCCGCTGGTGACGTATCCAATTCGCGGAGAACGCCGTGGCCGGCGTGAAATACTCCTGGGAGCCGTCAGGCAACGGCGAACACATGGGTGCAAATGCTTGCAGTTCAGCCATCTCCTCAGTCAAAGTGTCGCTGTGCGCTAAAGCTGAGGGGCGCAGAAGCAACCGCTTGTACATGGCGGCTGTTTCCGAATCCTGCGCTTGCGACGGCATCGGGAACCCATCGAACATGGGAACTCGCAAAACGGCGGTCATACGCTGGACTCGGGTCTCAGCGTGGGTGTAGTTTGGGTCGAAGTCGAACTCGATGGCCTTGGGCTTCCTCTCTGTGCCTGAAGCGCATGGCAAGCAAGGGGGGCGCATTGCCTACTCCTCTCTCTCCCTCGACCAGTCTAGGACTTCCTCGGCCCTGCGCCCGACTATCTCCGACGCCAGAGATATTCTCCTCCTAGCCCACCTCCTTTTCTTTCTGCTCCTGCACCTCAGCTCCTTCCTCCCTCCCCGTTTCCTTCGGCCTGAAAACGGCCTCTCGGTGACTTCCCCACTCTCCTCTTCGCCTCCCCCCCTGTTTCTCCTCGCGGCCCTCCCCCCCCCCTTCCCCTCCCCCCTCCGGTTCCCAAGGCGCGTCCTTGACAGGGGGGTGGCTTCTCGGCCGAGTAGACCCACATGGCGTAGACATACAACGGCATGTCTTTCAGGACTGGGTGGTGTCCGCGATGCAACCGATCGTCGACGGGCGTAGTTGTGCGCGTGCGCCTGGCCCCCTCGCTGTCCTTGTCCTCCGTCGTCTCCGCCTCTGCCTCGTTCAAGAAGCGCTGCAGCGCAGTCAGCGCTACTTTGCGCTCGTCCTTGTAAGACCCCGACGAGTTCTGGCTCTTCGCGGCCACGTCGTAGTCGCAGGCAGTCTGGAGGTCCCCGAACTCGGTGCCATCTGGGTGCCGGTAGAGCTCCGCGCCGCCGTCCAGACGCACGCGCTCCCATCCCACGAGCGGATGAGACTGCTTGTCTTTGGTGAGATACCTCAGACCAACCCCGCCGCCGTCCTTGGTGTGTTTGCGACGCGCAGCCTGGCCGAACTTGTTCCGCCACGTCTGCGCTGCGAGAAAGACGGCCCTCTTGATGAACACCTTCCAGCAACGATGGGAGAAGTACGTCATGGTGTTGAACGTGATTGGCATCGGTATCTCGCTCATGCTCCTGTGATGGCGCCGCTTGAAGGCAGACGACATAGTGTTCAGAGTCTGCAGGACTTGCCAAAACTTGTTGGGGCCTCGCCCGGGAGCTCCGGAAGCAGCGCGCCCCTCTGCATCGTGGCTCTGCGTCTTGTTGGTGGCCTCCGGCGTTTCCTCCCGCCTCGGCTCCAGACGCTCGATCCCCTTGCGTAGCTCCTCGAGGGTCCCCTGCATGTCCGGCAGCTGCTTGGTGGTGTACGCATTGATGTAGAAACCCGTGTTGATGCCGTCGCACATCGCGGCCGTGGACTCCCTCTCCATGACTGTCGCGAGCTCATCGTCCTGGGCGACTGTTGCATCGTCCGACCGCATGCACTCCAGGAGTATGGCTCTCCACTCATCAGGAGTAAACTCCTCCGTGAATGCGCGAGGCCCAGCGGGAAGATTGCCCTTCTCGAGAGAACGCCTCGGCAAGTAGTCATTCTCTACCCAATCGTAGTCGTTCATGTGCCCGAGAGTTGGCTGATTGCCATGGTGCGGGAGTTCCTCGTCCGGTTGGAGCCAGCGCGGCGAAGGGGGAAGGCGCCGAAGATCCTGGGAAGGGACAAGCAAAGCGGAGGAGGTCACCGAGGGCCCTTTCACCACAGATGCCCGTTATCCAGCAGAGCCCAATCCCGCTCTACAACCCCTCCCCCCCAGGCGGTAGTCCATGCCATTCAAGAAGGACATGGGAGGGGTAGTCACCGAGGGCCGTTTCTCGAAAGAGCGTCATCAGAACACGATTCAATAATGCACATCATAACACCTCCAGAAAACAACACGCCGAATTTTCGAGCACACCAGCAGATCCTGCACGCCCAGGTTGCATCGCATGCAATCGAGCCTGGCGTAGTTGGTGAGGCACTCGAAAGGGTGCTCCTGGAGCAAAAGCAGTCTGCCTGTCATGCCATGCTCAGATTGGCCCACGACGACGACTGCGTTGCGGAGAGGCTTCCTTTGCCGTCGTCTCTGCCAGTCTGGTAGGCTGATGATGTAGTAATAGCCATGCCTGCATATTTTCTGAACCTTGACGCCGCTGTACTTGAAGCAGCTCTCCCCGCACACGTGCACCAGGATCTCCTCAGCCAAGGACCTCGCGTCCTCCGTAAAAGCCTGCTCCCACGAGTGCGGGCTCTGCGCGCCGGCACTGAGATCGCCGCGGCGATGAAGCGCACCGCGCCTGCGATGGTGAGGACACTTGAATACGGCAAACTCGGAGACGACCTTGGAGTTCGTGGATCCGGGCTTCGGCTTGCCGTCCCCTGCCGCGCTCGACTGCGTGGCCGACTTGGCTTTGAGGGGCAACTCAGGTCTGTTCCACGCTGCCTTTTCGGCCGCGTCCTCGAAGAGACGACTCTGCTCCTCCGTTGGTTCCGCGCTGTCTCGTTGAAGATCGTCGCGCATGGCGTCGATCTCGCTGCCGCCGTCATACCTGGTCAAACTTCGCTCTGTCTTGGAAAACGGGAGCGGTTCCGCGACCTGGTCGAGGTGGCCAAACCTCTGGGGCGCTCTCATCACGGAACTCTGGCAAGTGGACTGCATGGACGACACGCGCTTCGTCATCCAGGTCGCCAGGCGGGTCTGCATGGAGCCAGGGTCTTTCTGCAGCATTCGCAATGCGTCCGCTGGTCTTATGCCAAGTAACCACACAAGGATGTGCGGATGTAGAGAGCCCCTGCCTTGCGCTTCGATCTCCCCGCGGAAAGCAAGCGCGGGGCCGAAGATGCCCGGCCCGAAAGAAGAAGCCGCAACGCCGTCCGTGCACTGATCGGCAGAGGGCCTCGCGCGACGCCGATTTCCCAGGAGTTCTGGTCGTGCTCCCAGTATGTGCATGAAGAACAGCTTCATCATCTTGTCGAACGCGAGCGTCTGACCCACTGGGTCTGCGGCAAGCCTCTTCATCGTGTCTCGGTACTTCGGCAGGGTCTTGTTGCCCGCGATAAAAAGTGCCCTCCAGACGAATCTCTTCCCCCTGGACGACGAGGAGCAGCGGCTGCTTCGTGTCCGCAAGGTTGGGAGTGCAGAACACGACAGGCTCGCCGAACAGGGTCATGTAGGCATTGCCCTCGTGCCGGCGCAGTCGGCGGTGCCCGTCCGTGCCCATGGCGTCGGCATGGCCCATCAATAAGGCGCTCATGGCGGCTGAGAGGTTGCGAGGAAACTCCTGATCGGATGCCAAGTTACAAAGCCCATGAATACGGCCGCCCCGGGCATGCTGCAAGCGGGCGGCGGCGGCGATTTCTTCCGACATCAACTTCAGGAGCTGCTCGGCGAATTTCGTGCCGCCGCTCTTCAGGAAGGCGTACTGCGATGTGTGGCGCTCCGTGAGCCAGTAGATGGAGGATAACAGATGAAGGACGAGCCAATCTGAGGCGAAACGGCTGGACAGAAGATTCGGGCCCACCCTGTACTCGTCGTTTTCACCGTCCAGCGTGTACTCCAGCTCCTCGCGCATGAGCAGGCACGTGATCCATTCCACGGGGAGAAGCGGGACGTACGGAGGGCAGGCTCGCTGCGGATCGCCAAAAGTTCCGTCTCCGTAGTGCCGGAGAGTGGGTCGAGCCTGCGTCATGGCTTCCCAGTTTAACAGAGAAGATGGCCTGCTGCCCCGCGCGACCTGCAGGTGAGGCACAGTGGTCGAGGCGGACGCGGCGACGGCGTCGGAAGGTTGCGACGTGCTGGGCGCCACGGGCGGAGCAGCCTGATAATCGACGCCGCTGAGAAGCCACTGCAGCTCTGCGAGCATTTTGTGTTGCGACTGCTCGCTCGTGGCTTTCTGCGCGAGCTCCCGAACCTTGGCGCATTGCTCAAGTATGCGCTCTTGGCCGGCCTCGTCCTGGAGGCAGGAGTCATTGCCGTCCAACTGCGACTCCAGGATGGACTCCGCCTCCGCCGCCACCGATCGCGCAGCGGCGGCGTCGAGCTCTTCCAGCTGGTGCTGCAGGCCTGTGATCTGCATACAGCTCTCGTGAGCTTTGGCGCCGGGGATGTCATCGGGGTGGAAGGCGGCCACCACTCTGGACTGGCGCTCGAGGGCGACGTCCTCGTCGATCCTGTCGGCATGCCTCGCCGCCGTGGCGCCCCCGGGCCCGCTGGACATCACCGCGCCCGGGTCGTCGATTTCCATGGGGACTTCCACGGCGGAGTCCGAGATCGGGGGCGGCACCCGCTTCTCATCGCCCGCTGGGCACCACTGAGCTACCAGGTCGGCGTCGTAGGTGGTCTCGGCGTATGCGACGTTGGTCTTCCGAAGGTAGGCCGCCTGGGCGTCGAACACGGACTTCTCGATCTGGAGCTCAGCGATGCGGCTGACGCGGGCGCGGCCCCTGCGCTGGGCCTCGTCAGGGCGCTCGTCGCCCTGGGAGGGCGGCCCCGTGAAACTGGCGGCGAAAGACCTTCCCATGTCAGGGGTTGGGAACCGCGTCAAGGCCTCGGTGCACGAGGCGTTCCCGAACAGCACAGCGCACCCCGTGAAGCCAGACTGGTGGAAGAGGAAGTCCCAGGAGCGTGCGGTCTGAGAGCCGGCAGTCTCAGCCTTGGAGCGGTGGTCTGGCCGCAGCACAACCTCGGTGGCGACCGCCCGCGTCAGGGCGAGCAGCATCTCGTGAGCCAGCGTCGTGTCTCGGAACCTCGGGGGCCAGCGGCCAATCATCATGTGGTTCGCCAGGGCGTACTTGCACATCGCGGGGGCCTTCTTCTTGAAGTTGTCGAGACACTCCTGGCAGACGTTCGCTTTCTCGTGCCCGCTGGCTTGCGCATCATTGACTCGGCGCTTGTGGAGGAGCACGAGCCTGCGCTCCTGCGAGTCTCCGAGCCTCATGTTCACCGCGGACGCGAGAAGCTCTTCCTTCGGGATGAGGTTCCAGACCTCGTGGTACTTCTCCGGACCGAACAGCGCGGCCACGGCCTCTAGAGTCTGCATGAAACACTCTGGCCCAGCCAGGTACACTTGCTGGACGTCTTCGGACCACTGGCGTCGCGCGCAGAAGACGCACGCCTTCATGCACCTGGGGTCCCACCTCTGGTCACGAGGCAATCCTTCGTCCGAGTTGGCCTGCGCCGTCATCTCTTCCGTGGAGTTGCTGATGATGAGTCTCATCTCCTGGCCGGTGGTCTTGTGCGGGCGCAGCGACTCGAGGGCGAAGAGGGCATTGCGGTACCTCTGTTCCCCCCCGTGCTCCTTGTTCACGTGCTCGAGCCAGTCGCCCTTGCAAATGAACTCAGTGTCCTGGCAGAGTTGACATGGCGCAGGTTGAGTGTGCCGCGCCCGCATGTCCCAGATCTTGACCTTCTCCGTAGGTTTCTTGCGTCGAAGCTCACGAGTATGCTCATACCTGCGAATCGGGTCCTGGGATTCGGCGAAATGATCGAGTCGGGTGCGGTCTCGGTTATCTCCCTGGCCAGATCTCGTCCACCTGCTCTTGACGGTCTCGTCTGCCAGCAGACGTGCCTTTTTAGCCCGTAGGGCTTCTTTGCCTCTTGCGTGCTTGTCTCGGCCACTGTGGTCCCTCTCCAGATGCCGGCCGCTTTGGTCCCTGCCGCTTTGGCCCCTGCCGCCTCGGTCCTGCTGTCGCCCGCTTGGGGCCGGCTCTCCCAGGGCCCTCCGCGCGCCGCCCTGGTTGCTCGCCCCAGCCGGCTCTTGGCCACGCGCCTGCTTGTTTCGTTCTTCGGCGCGTCGGTCTGCTTGCCGCCGTCTCGCCCATGCGGCCTCCGCCACCTTGCCGGTCAAGAGATCCAGCATGGTGCGAGGGTCACCCCACGCCTGCTTGCCGCGCAGTCGCCTGCTGGTCTCGACGCGCGTCAAGAAGACGAGGTACGGGAAATGCTCTGGTGGCTCGCTCAGCTTGGAAACCTTAATCCTCGTTCAACTTGAACCAGTCGTCGTCCGAGTGCACGAAGGCCACGTTGTGGCCAGACTGCATCCTCTGGTCGGCGGAGACATCTCCTTCTGCTTCGTGTGCCGCAAACAAGGCCACGCGATACGTAGCAGTGTTTTCAGTGCCGGCCACCGTCACCTCAAATTCGGCGGTGCCCCAATCTGCCCTGGCAGTGATGGAGTGGCGGACGCCACCGAGCTCGTAAATATTCTCCACGCGCGGCATCGACGCAGGAGAAGTCGCCGCGATGGCAGCGTCTCCGGTCAAAGACACCATCAGCATACCAGCAACATTGACTTTGCCCGCCGCCGCTGCTACCTGCGCGTCGGGAGACACCTGGCGCAGGATCTGGTCTTCGACGGCCTCGGCGGCTCCCGAGCCGAACGCTCGCGCGCGGAGGTCCTTGGCGTTGTCCAAGCACCCCAGCAGGAAGGTCGCGCACTCGGAGGCGTCCTGCTGTGTTCCCCCAGGGTACCTGCTCAGGAAGAGGAAGTAGCTGACCAGCTTTCCCAGCAATGGCACGGTGTCCAAGCACGTGCTGGCTGAGTCTGCCTTAGTGGTTCGATTTGGCAGACAGCGCGGTGGATTGACCGCCCCCGAACTGAAATCCTCGAGACTTCCACTTTAAATCTGCCCCCCCCTCCCCTAACAATCCAGGCAGCCCTGGCGGCCGATCAGAACCGCGTCCTCCGCGGCATCAGGCAGAGCACGAAGCTCACTGAGGTCCGTGTGCAAGTTGGGGCAAGCAGCGATGGAGGTCACCGAGGGCCGTTTCCAGGGGGGCAATGGGCGATGGGGTCACCGAGGGCCGTTTCCCAGAATGGAACGGGAGGCGAGAGGGTCACCAATGGATGGACCGGTATCCATATATACACACACACACACTCCCAATCACTGGTCGGCCATGAGTGATGCGCGAGGATACGCGCTGCCGGACTGGCCCATTGACAGAAAGCCTCAGGGCACTGCGTGTGGAGAAGCCTTTCGATGGAAAGTCTCCAGGCGCACGCCGGATCGCTCAGGTAGAAAGACCCTCGGAACTGCACCGGAGAGGATCGAGGGCCGCGTCCGACGCGAGGCAAGGAGCTCTTGCTGGCCTCAGAGATGTGCAAGTGTGCAAGTTGCCTGACTCGCCCTTTGACGGGAAGCCTCTGGGCATTGCGTTTGGCGAAGCCTTTCGATGGAAAGTCTCCAGGCGCACGCCGGATCTCTCGCGCGTAAGAACCTTTGGAACTGGGTCCAGAGAGGATCGAGATCAGAGCTCGTCTGAGGCCCGGGCATACGAGAGAACGTACCGCCTCAGGCACTGGCCGAGCGGCATCAGGTCGGCCTCGCCGCGGCGAAGAATCTTCAGCCTGGCAGACGCAGACGCACCGTGCTCTCGACGCGAGCAAGTCCCACGAATGCAGTGCAAGGGGGGGGGAGGGGCGGGTTTCCAAATCATATCGTACCCAACGACTGGAGTCGCTCGCCGTGGTAACCGAGCACTGAATCGGGAGCCCAGCGGTCGCCCAGGGCCGCTTTTCAAAACGCAATGCGATGTGTCATGGGACTCGCTGCGCCAGAGCAACCGTGCGGAACGACGCGCTCGTTTGGATTTAAACATCCCGACGCCTCCAAGGCTTGCAGTGGATCAGGGCCTGCGCCACGGCGTTGAGGTAACACGTATTCCCGAAGTTGGGCATGCGCACGGACGTCATGTAGAGGTTCGACAGGTCGTCTCTGACGCCAGCAATGAAATCGAATATTCTCTCCTTTGCGAACGAGAACGAATCCGCGTGGGCGAGGCTCATGCGCCTGAAGTCCGTCCAAGCAGCGAGCACCTGTGTGATTCGCTTGGCCCTGACTGGGTCGGGGCGCGGGCCCTCCTGGTCAGCTGTGTAGAGAAACTTCACCGCCTCCAGCCGCTCTGCCAGGGCAGCCTGCCGCGCGCGGTGCGCGACGCCTTCCACGTCGCGCAAAGAGTCGATGCCATGAGTCTCCGCAGCAGCTCGAAACGTCCATCGCCAGGGGGCTACGTCGCTCACCTCCCCGTAGAACTTGGCGCTAGCTCCGCCGAGCATGTCGGGCTGCAATGCGAACAGACGAAGGGTTGGCACATCCATCTCGTAGTTCTGGGCGCCGTTAGAGTACCTGTTGAGGGCTCTCCACAAGTTCGCATCGGCACCCCTTTTGGACGGCCGGTTTTGTGGATCATCCGCTCGTTTCTCTGCAAACGACTTGTGCCATCCGACAGCTTTCTCATCCGCCTGGGCACGCAGACAGGTCACCGCGACCGACTCTCGCAGGCTTTGTGACCAAGGTCTTTGCGACCAACGATCGTCCTCCTCCGCGGGCATCGGAGAAAGCTGAATGCGAGGGGTGCCACTGGAACGAACAGAGGTTGCCAGCAAGACAGCCGGAGACCGCTGAGGCGGAGCCCTCGTCGGCGCGGCCTCCGTTGGCGTAGCCTTCGTAGGCGTGGCATGCGCTGCGGATGGAGAAGACTCTAGATCAGCGCCCGCGCTGCCGGCCTCGCGCACTCGCCGGACCTTTGCCGGCGACCCGTTGTCGTCGCCCTCCTCTTCCTCCGGCTGATCCGACAGAGCCTCCGAGGCGAAGCCGCCCGACGCAGGGTTCCGCAGGAACGCCACCAGGCACTGCCTCTTGCCGTGGTCGTCCATGTCGGAGTATTTCGCGTAGAGCGTATCGGGCCATCAATTGTGACGCTGGCGGCGGTACGCACTAAATGCGGACAGCACAACTCCGCTTGCGCATCTGCGAGAGCTCTCCACGCTGACCCTGCCAACCATCTGAATCATTGCGTTCTTCATCGCCAAACACGGGGTTGGCAGCGCGTCCATGGCAATGCTGGGCGGCATGACTGCCACGCGCAGGTACTACGGGCACGCCCGCGTGAAAGCGCATGCGCGCCGAGCCGGCTTGAACCAAAGTGTCTACAGTTCTGCGTGGGACGCGGACTCTCGCCAGCGCAGCCCTCTGGTGTCGAGACATTGCCACGCCTGCCACGCTTTGCAAGCCCGAAGCGGATAGCGACCCCACCCCCAGCGCGCCCCCCTTGCGGTGTCGAGGATGTGCCACGCCTGCCGCGCTTTGCGAGCCCGAAACGGATAGCGACCACCCCCAGCGCGCCCACCCCCAGCGCGCCCCCTTGTGGTGTCGAGGATGTGCCACGCCTGCCACGCTTTGCGAGCCCGAAACGGATAGCGACCCCACCCCCAGCGCGCCCCCTGTGGTGTCGAGGATGTGCCGTGCCTGCCACGCTTTGCGAGCCCGAAAAAGATATCGTCCGCGCCCCCAGCGCGCCCCCTGTGGTGTCGAGGATGTGCCACGCCTGCCACGTTTTGCGAGCCCGAAACGGATAGCGATCCCACACCCAGCGCGCCCCCCTGTGGTGTCGAGGATGTGCCACGCCTGCCACCCCATGTCGAGGATGTGCCACGCCTGCCACGCTTTGCGAGCCCGAAACGGATAGCGACCCCACCCCGAGCGCGCCCCCTGTGGTGTCGAGGATGTGCCACGCCTGCCACGCTTTGCGAGCCCGAAACGGATAGCGACCCCACCCCCAGCGCGCCCCCTGTGGTGTCGAGGATGTGCCACGCCTGCCACGCTTTGCGAGCCCGAAACGGATAGCGACCCCACCCCCAGCGCGCCCCCTGTGGTGTCGAGGATGTGCCACGCCTGCCACGCTTTGCGAGCCCGAAACGGATAGCGACCCCACCCCCAGCGCGCCCCCTGTGGTGTCGAGGATGTGCCACGCCTGCCACGCTTTGCGAGCCCGAAACGGATAGCGACCCCACCCCCAGCGCGCCCCCTGTGGTGTCGAGGATGTGCCACCACGTCTTGTCGAGGATGTGCCACGCCTGCCACGCTTTGCGAGCCCGAACGGATAGCGACCCCACCCCCAGCGCGCCCCCCCGAGGATGTGCCACGCCTGCCACGCTTTGCGAGCCCGAAACGGATGCGAGCGCGCCTCCTGTGGTGTCGAGGATGTGCCACGCTTGCCACGCTTTGCGAGCCCGAAGCGGATAGCGACCCCACCCCGAGCGCGCCCCCTGTGATGTCGAGGATGTGCCACGCCTGCCACGCTTTGCGAGCCCGAAACGGATAGCGACCCCACACCCAGCGCGCCCCCCTGTGGTGTCGAGGATGTGCCACGCCTGCCACGTTTTGCGAGCCCGAAACGGATAGCGATCCCACCCCCAGCCCCTGCGGTGTCGAGGATGTGCCACGCCTGCCACGCTTTGCGAGCCCGAAACGGATAGCGACACCACCCCGAGCGCGCCCCCTTGTGGTCTCGAGACATTGCCACGCCTGCCACGCTTTGCGAGCCCGAAACGGATAGCGACCCCACCCCCAGCGCGCCCCCCTTGTGGTGTCGAGGATGTGCCACGCTTGCCACGCTTTGCGAGCCCGAAACGGATAGCGACCCCACACCCAGCGCGCCCCCTGTGGTGTCGAGGATGTGCCACGCCTGCCACGCTTTGCGAGCCCGAAGCGGATAGCGACCCCACCCCCAGCGCGCCCCCCTTGTGGTGTCGAGGATGTGCCGTGCCTGCCACGCTTTGCGAGCCCGAAACGGATGGCGACCCCACCCCCAGAGCGTCCCCTGTGGTGTCGAGGATGTGCCGTGCCCTGCGCGCCTGCCATGTGTGCTATGCTGTGCTGGGCTGTGCTGTGATGTGCTGTGCCGAGCTGAGCTGAGCTGTGCTGAGCTGTGCTGTGCAGCGTTGTGCTGCGCTGTGCTGTGCTGTGCTGTGTTCTGCGTTGAGCTGTGCTGTGCTGTGCTGTGCTGTGCTGTGCTGCGTTGAGCTGTGCTATGCTGTGCTGTACTGTGCTGTGCTGTGCTGTGCTGTGCTGCGCT